GGCCTTGGAAAGAACCATCTTAACTCAGTGTAAGTTTTAAGTTCCTTTTACTTTTAGGCAAGAGGGAAAAGGAAAGGGGCCTAGGCCAGTAGCTAAGGATTTCCAGGTGCATCTCTAGGGGTCTCAAATGGAACATTGCAAAACCTAGTAGTTGGTAATTCATTGATCATGATGCCCTGTAAATCTTTAAAATGTCTTCATTATGCTTATATTAGTGTCTTCAGTCTTGAAAGTCCATGAGAAAGATTAGGGAAGTTTTTGATATAAGGTGTGATCAAAATATACAAGAAATATTTAAATTTAAAAAATTTATTAGGGGGGCTGGGGATTTAGCTCAGCGGCATAAGCGCCTGCCTTGCAAGTGTGCAGTCGTGAGTTTGATCCCTGGTACTGATTAAAAAAAAAAAGTTAAAAAAATTTATTAGAGTAAAAAACACACTGTGATTAACTCCCCTAAACGTGTACTCCCTGCTTCTACACACTTATCCTGCCATTCTTGCTACTTTCTAGAGCAGTTCTGGCACTTGTCTTTAGCTAGTGTCTTCACAAGCTACGATAAAGAATATGCTGAACATCACTGATGCACACCATCCCAGGGAAAGGCATGTGGTAAAACATTACCTGTCTTCCTTCTCCTTATTCACTGAGTCTGGCACCATGTGGCTTCTGGCTTTTCCCCAAAGTCAAAATGACTGTGAGGGGTAAATGTTTTAAATTGACTCAGGTTATCAAGGGAGCCACGATGGCATAACTTAAAGACACTCATGAAAGAGGACTTCCAGAACTGCTTGGGAAAGTGGCAAGAATGATGGGGTAACTGTGGTCAAAGGGAGGGTGACTATTTTGTGAAATAATGGCAGTGTGTAATACAATTCTGTTTAAAATTTAAACATTTACCTTGTGTGTTGATCACATCTTCTGAATCAACATTCCAGACAAACACTTCTAAATGCAAATTTGAGTGGAGAGAACCTCACCTGAAGGTAGCAAAGGAGACAGATGCAGTCTGAAGACAGAGGTGCCAAGCCTTTCATCCTGTCCTAGTCACCCGTGAATCATGTTAGGAACGCATGAAGAGTCTGTATTTTTGACAAAGGCAGTCTTCTAGTTCCTGAAAAGCAGTTCAGGCAACCATCACCCTCAAAATCCAGTCGCTGGAGTTGTCACCGACAGCAAAGCTAGTGAGAGACTGCAAACATTGCTCAGCTGTGGGACCTCCAAAATCAGTGACTTGTTAAAGGCAAATGCTGAAAGCAAGTAAAGCAAGTGTTTAGTTTTTCCCCAGTTACCCAGCAAGGGCCTCTTCTACAGTAGCTCCTTCAGTCCTCCCCCAGCCCTGCCACCCAGTGACAGTCCGGAACCAACTTGCATTCAAGTTCGAAGGTCCATAAAGCTTGGCATGGCATTGCTGGTTAGAAACAGAAGGGGGACTGGAAGTGCCACAGTGGGCCATGAGGCTTGGTGACCAAGAGGGGTCATATTCCTGGAAGGCAGTGATGTGTTTGCATAATTTTGGCCTAGACTGGCTCATCTTTTTTTTTTTAATTTTATTTAAGCAGAAAAAGAAAAAAACAGAAAAAGGGTACAAGTAATACAAAATTTAAAAAATAAACAGTAAGAAATCACTAGTTTTAATAGATTACATATTCTCATCTTAGAAATTGTTCAAGTTACAAAATTAAAGCATATAAAGTGGACTTTCAAACAGTAAGACTGCAAACAGTCCTGTTCAATTATCCAACAAAACTCAGTAATATGGTTATCTATTTTATACACTTAAACATATATGCAGTTATAACCTTTAGAGCACTTTTTTTTCTTTTCTTTTGTACAATGACAATTACACATTTTGGGTTTTATTACTCCCACAGTTCTTATTACTTTTTTTGAAGAGAGTAAAACCAAATGTGACATATCAGAACAGAGTCGGTAAAATCAAAAGGATGGACATAATAGATAATGTAAAAACAAAATACAAGGTGATCAACAATGGTTACCATAACGCCTCTTGCTATCTTAAAAAGAATTGCCTATATCATCAGTTATAATAAAATTGAACAAAACAGTAAAGAATAAAACCAAAACATTGGAGACATTACAGGACTTTAAAAGAAGATAATAGTCAACCAGAATGGGTGTCATTAAAGAATCTTATTGTCTTCACAGTTGTTACCTATACTTTCGAACTTGGTACTATCAAGCTAAGCAGAATAGGGGGAAATCAGTCAAAACAAGATGGTGAGGGCAATACAGGGTTTCAAATCAAGTTAATAGGAAATCAAAGTAGGTTACTATAATGTATCCTGCTATTTTTTATTTTTCCCTTAATTAAAAAGATAAAAATAAAAATGTAAATAATAAAAAAAGGAGATTGAGATAAAAGAGGGCATAACGACAAAACACTGCAGGTCAAAACAACCATTTAAGCAAAATAGTGTTTCACCACAAGATATCCTGACATAAAAGTAGTTACCATAGTGTCTCTTTCCTTGAAATCTTTGAGTATAACTTCGTATACTGTAGCACCAAACATATCCCAGGCAATGTAAAACCATTCAAGAGAATGACATTATTACAGGGTATTTAGAGCTAACTAATAGAAAATGAACAATGGTTTCTGTATAATCTCCTTGTCTATAAAAGTTTTTGCTTATATTATCACATATAATAAAATCCAATAAGATACAACCTGTTAAAACCAATGGAGACAGAAGAATAAAAGCTTGATGGGACTTCAAAACAAGATGATACTAAATCAGCACTAGCTATTATGATGTCTTGTTTTCTCCACAATAGCTGTTCATACCATCCAACCTTCTCTGCCTCATTTCTGTTGAGCTCTTTTTCTGTTGTTTGTTGTCAGTTTGTCTTCTTCATTTCTCTTTCTGCTCCATTCATTGTGGCCTCTCTGCCACTATTTCTGGAATCTTGGTATTTTCCTGTTTTAGAATATCCTGCAGTATTCTCTGTAGAGTTGAGTTGGTGGTTGCAAATTCCCCTAGTTCTTCTTTATCCTGGAAGCACTTTGTTTTTCCATCAATTTCCAGGGACAGTCATGCAGGATATATCAGTCTTGGCTGAAGGTTATTATCTTTCAAAGCTTGGATTATTTCCCCCCAGGCTCTTCATGATTTGATGGTTTGTACCGAGAAGTCTGCTGTAATTCTGATGGGTGTTCCCTTGTAAGTGATCTGTTTCTTGTCTCTGACGGCTTTTAATATTCTGTTCTTATATTGGATTTCTGGAATTTTGATTATTATATGCCTGGGTGTAGCTCTGTTTGGGTTGTAGGTGGCTGGGGTACTGTATGCCTCATACCTCTGAGTATATTTACCTTTTGCTAAATTAGGGAAATTCTCTTGGATTATTTCTATGAATAGCTTTTGTAGTCCATTTGTTTGTGTCCCTACTTCTTCTTTTATGTTCTTAATTCTTAAGTTATAGATCCTCTTATCATCTTCTAGCCTTTGTATTATTGCTGTTTGTTTTCTTGTTTTTTTAAGAAGTTTTTCATTTCATGCTCCCACATTACAAATCTGCCCTCCAGTTCAGATAATCTATCCTTAGTTTCTTTCAAGCTGTTATGCCAGCTTTCGATAGAGTTTTTAGTTTCCTGGTAATCTCTTTGAACCTGCTTCACGTATTCTATGTCTTCTCTATTTTCTCCATCAAACAATTCTCCCCTTTTTTTTCTGTTCTTCCATTTCACCATCTGTTTTGTCTTGGGTAGTGTTTATCATTTTTCTAACTATTCTACTTATATCTTGCTTTAGGTCATTAATAACTTCATTTTTGAACTGGTCTATGAGGCTCTGGAGATATTGCTTTATGTCTATTGGTGCCGTGTCTGATAGTGCATGTTTCTCAGGATTGGGGGCCAAGGACCCTTTCTTGTTGCTCCCTCTTCCCATATTTTTTCCTTCCATACAAGCATATATAGGAGGCCCAGTTTCTTTCTTTGTGGGTCACAGTTTGTTTCAATTGCGCTGGATAGGTGTTCCTGCCCACTGCAGTGTACTAGGGAGACATAGACCTGGGCAGCCTCTGCTGGGCCCGCCCCTCCAGGTCAACCTACTGAAGGCTTCACTGCTAGGGTGCCCCTCCAGGTGCTGGGACCTGGTTTGGGCTAGCCTACTGGGTCTTAAGTCAGGGGTGACACCCAGGCCAGGCACTCCCCACCAATCCCACTTGAGAGGAGAATATGTGACTGAAGTACTGCAGCGTCCTTTTCTGGCTAGTCTTCCCGGTCCCAGTATGTCCTTTGCTGAAGCCTCCTACTCTATGGAAGGGTCCCCGATCCGCTCACTCACTGCAGATCGATGCAGGGCCCCTGGCCAGTCCCACTCTCAACTCCATTCGCCACTTTCCACTCTCAGAGCTTTCATGCCTCTCCTTACCGTGCAGGTTGGGACACAGCAGCGGCTGCAGGAAATTCAAATTGCGGCTTCCAGTGGCAGTCCTAGCCATGAGCAAGGACTGAAAGACTGTAGCGTGGTGAGCATTTGCCCGCCGCAGTCTCTGGATTCCTCACCAAGAGCTAGTGCCACAACATGGTCCCATGCACACCAATCCTGTCACTTCCAGAAGGCATGACACCCAGCAGCATCCTCTGGTGAGACAGAGAGGAGTGTGACAGCAGGGTCAAGGCCTGGTCCTCCCTCCAGATGGGAACACAAAATCACTGAGAGCCTGGACCGCTGCCTATGCCTCAGTTTCTCATTGTAAGATGTGGGGTGGGGGCAGAATTTCTTCTGAGTCTTCTTCTGGGAATCATCATACCCTCAGGAAAAATAAAACACAGTGAGCACTGGACCAGGAAAGCTGGGGAAAAATGGTGTGTGATAGAAACTCTTGATTAGAAATCCAAGTGTGCAGAAGTTTAAACATTTAAATGTTTTTAAATGTTTAGTTTCCAAATGTCAGCACAAACCATAGCTGATGTCTGAGGCAGACACAGGGGGCAGACAGGTGCAGCAGAGGACTTTATTGGTGTTAAGTGGTCATATTGTGTTTGGAGCTTCACAGGGCAAAAGGATGAGCAGAATGTCTTCTCTGACAGTCTTCACTGCAGAAGTTGTACCTGAGGAGAAAAGCAAGTGTTTGAGTGACCTTGGGAGAGCCACAGAGATCTGAGGTTTTCAACATAGTCAATTTGATTTACAATTTTCAAGGAACAGGGAGACACTAAGGCTCAGGCTTCGATCAGTTACTAGAGAACTGGCTCCTTAGTCTTCCTGTTTGAGGGAATCCTGGGTTCCGGGACAGTGTCTGCTCTTGCACAGTGGCCCCTGTTGCCAGGTCCTGTGTGTGACAGAACCATGGCCTTGTGAAGCAGCAGCCTGCCTTCTTTCATTCTGCAGGCCTTGGTGCACACAGCCGGCTGGTTTACAGATGGTCCCTTACTGGTCCTTAGGTCTCTCTTGGAGCCCAGTTTTCGAACTCTTAGTAGTGATGGACAACTGTGCTAAATGATTCCCTTGGGTGAACTTCACCTCACCAGACATGTGTGAGAAGCCTTTATTAGTCCTACCTCACGGCAGAGGAAACTGAGGTAAAGACACAGTTAATAGGAGGAAGAACACAGAGGCAAAGATAGGTGCATCTGATGTCATAGTCCAAATTTTCTGTGGTGGCGTCACATGTCAAACTTCCCTTGACCTTGTCTTTTAGATCAGGAATCAAAGGGCCCTGACCTTTCCTCAGGGGTCCTAGGCCTCTGCCACCTCCCATCTGTGAAATGGGCCTGTTCCTTGATGCCATCTGCATTTGTAGAACAGGGCTCCTTCTTACGATCATTGAGAATCCTATGACAGTCATTCAACTTCCCACAACAATAGGCGTAAACCATTTAAAAATTAATGCAAAAATAATGCAGATATAAAGTTAGTATGGATATTTGAGAATGGTGAGCTTCTCTCCATCATTACCATCTTTGAGCTCTGAGGGTTCTTCCAGTCTTCCATCTTTTACCTCTTCTTTTAAACTACTTTGTTTTTCCTGGAAGACTAACCTAGCATTTTTCCGGTGCCCTGCTCCTTGCCACCCTGCCATCAGGCTGCCTTACCTCCTCCATCCCACACATCCCGGTTCCTGCTGCCTCTGCTCTTGCCCTTCCCGCCCCTCTCTCCATGGTCCTCAGCCTCTGGGCTCCTCCTTTGGGCATTCTGTTCTGCCCTGGCCTCTGTCTTTGGGCCTCTTATGATGAGCTCTGTATTCTATCATGTGATCCTTGAATGTCCCATTCCCCATTCTCAGAATGAGAAAATCATTCTGATTTTTCTCAACAAGTAAATGATAAAGTCCTGGACAGCAGGCTCTGTGTTCATTCTCCCTACTGTTTGCCAGACAGCAGATAGGAACTTAATGAAGTCATCTACAAAGGTATGATAAGGATGGATTCTGAAGTTGTTCCTGGGGAAATAAGAAAGGGAAGGATTATGTTTTTCTTGTGATCTTGCCTCACTGGAAAGAATTCTGCTCAGCAAGTTCCTAGGTAGTATTCAAAGCCCCAGGAAAGTGACTACACATCTGAGGGGGAGCTGAGAAGAGGCTGGGCCAAATAAATTGATTTTCTTTAATGCTATAATTATTACTTTTTAAAATGTTGTCAGTCATTTTCATAGGGACATAGTATCTGAATAATTTGAATAACTGAGTCTTTTTTTATTCTTCAGGCTACTTTGTGATCTACGAAGCTGGTTTTGGATTTCCAATATATTAAGTTTAAAATCTGACATCCTGCATCTCTTAAGAAAGATTTTCTGTGGAATTGATGGCCAGGGAGCCTACATACTTAGCTACTGGAAGGTTTGAGTGGTGTCAACTACTCCATTTCCAGAAAGCTTAGACAGTCTGGACCTTTCCTGAGAAACCTGAAAGGTGCCGTGCTCTGGCTGCTTTGGTTACCTGTTTCTTACCTATAAGAAGTCCTTTTGTGAGGACACCATTCATTTCCAAGAGTCTTGCGATGCTCCCTTCTTCTTATGCCATTTTAGCCACATGGTCCCAGGACCCAGGTCCAGGGACTTACCCTAATGGACTCTGGGAACTGACACTAGAGGCTGTGTCTTTGAGTGAGACCAGGAGAGGAGGCCTTGGCTGTGCCTGAAGCCTGATGAGACTCCACACTGGCTAGGACTGGATTTCTCTGAGCTGTCCTTTAGATGCTAGGACTTTGATTGCACGGACCACCTGGCTGGATGGCCTGAATGTCCTTCCATGTGACGGGCATAGGGAGCATATCAGAGAGCTATCCAGCTTAATGACACATGTGTCAGCTTCTGTGCCACTCTGCCAACTTCTTTCCTCACTGGGAGAGTGACATTCCCAGGGAGTTGAGCTTGGTGACCCACCTCATTCCTAAACTTCAAGACCACAGTGGCTGAATACCCAGGTCCCCTTCTCACAAGGCCACATTAGAAATGTCCTGCTCGCCAGACTTGCGGTCCAACTTTGCTCTGTCACCCTCAGGTCACTTCCTAGACCTCCCTCCCAGTGCCATCTTTCTCTTCTGAGCCCTCTGCTGCTGAGTCACAAAGCAATGGGGACCACGGGTCAGGAAGACAACCCCACGCATATCACCACTTGAGCGCGCTCTTGCCCTATGTAAAATTTTGTACCTTTTCTTGAAACTGATTTCTTTTCCCCCAGCTATTCTGAAATGTCCCTAATTTTTCCCTTTCAAAATGTAGCCACTCTCTAGCTCACACTTAACCCTTTACCCTTCAGAGGTGATTTCTGTGTTTCTTTTTATCTGTCCTTAAACATTGGGCGGTGTTTTCTGTATCCCTGCAGACAGTGGCTGAGAATACCAGTAAAGTATACTAACAGAGGAACTGCTTTCTGCCAGCAGTTTGTTTGCCTGGGAGAAAGAACCAGGGCTAGATGGATTTTAATGGCTTAACAGATTTTCTGGAGTGAGTTTCCACGACAGGCACAAATCTCTGCGAACACCCAGAGACACACTCAGTGGAGACACTTACACTGTCTATTCCTGTCCCTGTTGCACTGTGATCTTGGTTGCATCCACTTTGGGGAAAGTTGGGTTTATCACATTGTTATTCCACAGTAACTTGACTTTCTCAATCACCCCAACGTTAAGCTCTGCATCAAAGCTGCGTAGAGCCTGGCTTGATGATCCTCTGGGAACAAAAAAGTGGAAACATTTTCAGTCATGGAAGCTCATCTAATGACCAGAAGAGGCTATAGGGCTCTTTTCTACTTTGGATTCATGAAAGTCCACTTGGTGCTGGGCATACCTGTAATCCCAGCACTTGGAAGACTGAGGCAGGAGGATTTCTGAGTCTTGCCTTGATAACTTAGTGAGACTTTATCTCAAAATGAAAGTTTTTTAGAAAGGCTGGGGGAGGGGGTATACCTCAATGTATATCAGGGTTCAATCCCCAGTATTGTAAATAACAAAAACAAAAACAGAAAAAACAAGAGTCTTCTTTTATTTAATCCTCAAATACATAAAAGACAGCTGTGTACCCACAGCCTCAAACCATTGTTTCAGGATTTGTAATGGGTTAAGTATTAAGTGTCCCCTCAACACTTATGCACTGAGGGCTTGATTGCTAATGCACCAACGGTTGAAGGTGGGGCTTGGAGTGGGTGTTATTCTCATCACAGCCAAATGGGTTACTAGGGGCCGGGCCTGGTTGGAGGATGTAGGGTCAGTCCAACCTGCCTTTGAAGGGCACAGCCTGTTCCTGCCCCTTCCTCTCTGCCTGGTTCTCTCAAGCTCCCCGTGCTACCTGGCTGCCCTGAGGTGGGAGCTCTGTGCTGGCACTCCCTTCCACCATATTGTTTTTGCCTGGGGACATGGGCTGGAACCTTTGAAACTGTGAGTCAAAATAAAAACTTTCTTCCTTTAGATTGTCCCATCGACAGAAAACTCACTAATACAGGATTGCTCTTTCAGCCTAATTTCTCATAAAAAATTCTTATAAAAATTATGTAATTCTTTCATATTGCTTTTTTCCAGAATATTTGTATTTGTACAATAATAAGTTAGTCACTTAGCACATGTGTTATTGTGCTGATCAGAAAATAGGATATTCAGGGTACATTATCTGGTCTACTGAGAAAGAACTGAATGGTTGGGTTTAGATTAAAGAAAATTTACTGGTAAAATTCTGAAATGACTTCAGTATATAAATAACTAAAAACCCACTAATGATAAATTAATTACATGCCTTGAAAGTTATGTATATCACAATATAAGACAGGGTGCTAGAATAGAAATTACCTGAAGATTTCATGCTGGCAAGTGTTTCCTTTATTTCCAAACAAAACAATTTTGACCTGACCGGTGACCATTTTTCCATAACGCTTTATGAAAACTCCAAAATCTCCAGCCTGCACACAACACAGAAGAGTTCAGTTTATTCATGCATGAAACGGTGACCTAAATTCAAGATTCCTGTCCTTGTCCCTTATGTGGAAGCATTCAAGTATGAGAAATTCTACCATTAATTCACACCTCAAATTCAGTCAGGAGGAAGTACACGTACACTAGCAGCCCACTCTAGAGATGACTGGCCTAGAGATGAAGCCCACTCTAGAGATGAAGGGTGTCACTAGCTACAGTGACCACTTACATTTAAATTCAAGTGAAATAAGACTAAACATTTAGTTTCTCAGGTTCACTAGCCACATTTCCAATATTAAACTGTCATGTGGATGAGTGGTTTCTGGATGCAACAGGGCAGAAAATACCCATCACTGCAGGAAGCTCTGCTCCAGAGTGGCAGTTCTGTGAGCTAAGGTGGGAGAAAACTGGTGGCTCCAATGTGCTTCCAGAAGGTCTCTCAGGAGTGCAGCCTGCAGGGTGCCCTGGGTCTGTGTCTCATGTTGGCATCCCCAGTGCTCCTGGAAGGCTCCAGCACAGAGCAGGTACCAGACCATTGTCACCTAGATTTATACCCAGACTTCTGTCCTGGTGCCTGTGTGAATAATCCCTGCCCAAATACATATGTACAAATCATTACACATAGAGCCACACTTTCATGCAAACATAAGCACATCTATTGCACACACTCAGAACATACATGCATATAAAGACTCGTACATAAACATGCATGTACACATTCACACATATGTGTATAATTGCACAGCTTTGCCTAACTCCTTATGTTTTTATTCTCAGAGACATTGTCTCTGTTACTCCCTCTGGTCAGGGCAGGTCCCCTGTCCTATAATATGAAGGCAGCAACTGCCAATCCCCATATACTTGTAGTTCTTCATTTTCCTTTTTTGCTGAATTATAAGTTTTATGAGCAGAGTATCTTTTTCATTGCTGTATCTCCAGTGTCTAGCATCCCAAGTCTGTGCCTCATAAAAAATGTGATTGAGGAATAAATACATAGTATTTGAATATTTACTTCATTGTTATTAAAATATAGACAAGTGTTTTGTGCATCACTACATTGGTGGATGGATTGATTAACCAATGACTTCTTATGAAACCTTTTATAAATATGTATGCATGTATTTACCGTGATGGGAATGCTCTGCATCTTGCTAGTGAAAGTACTTACACATCCATTTATTTGTCAAAACTCATAGAACTATACACTGAGAAGGAAAAACTTGCTATATATAAGTTATACTTTGGTAAACTTGCCTTTAAAAGCCATATGAGACTTACATTATTTTTATATATCTGTATAAAAACACAGCCTTGGTTTTGCTGAGCAGTGCCTGGTAGAACTATCAGAGGCAAGTGGTCATAAAACGCCACACACAGCTTTATCTCTGCCTTGAGTCCCAGTCCAATCTGTGTGGTTTGGAGAGAAATCATTTCTTCCCCTGACTCCTATACCACACTCTTGGTCTCAGAAATGTGTAGACATGAGGCACGGCAGAGATGGGCTCCATAAGGGTTGCAGCCCTAGAAAGATCCAGTACAAAATGAGTTTGCTAAATGCATAAGCAGGTCACACCTGCTTTAAGGAAAAAGAACAGTGAACTGCACAGCAGTAAAACTCCAGGGTAGATGGTCACAAGGTGATGCCAATTGCCATACTTCTGTTCATCACACCATTCACATCCATGGCATAGAAGGAACATGGAAAAAACGTAGGCTGTTTCTAAATCACTCAGCTGAATCAAATGACGAAGATGTTTTGGTGGATGTGTCCACTTCTAAAATGGTCAAAATGTGCCCATGCACATTTCAGGTTAGAGGCAACCCTTTCATTTGTAATAGGAACTATATTTTCTTTATCAGGGTGAGTAATTAGTCAAAGTACAACTTACGCACAAAATTCTTGGTGTCTTCTGTGCTCAAGAAGAATTTCTGCTGCTTTTCACCTGTCTTACAACAAACTTACTAGCATAGTGACCCATCTGTGGGCACCCTTCATCTGGACAGGGGAAGTACTTGTTCTGGTGAGATAGATGAGAGAGATGTAAGGCAAACCTGTCTTCTTGTAACCAGTATACTAGGGGAAGCTGACACTCAATTTTTCTATAGCCACAACTTTCTCATTTGTAGCAGGAAAGGAGTTGGAACTAAACTGCCTTCAACTCCTAGTTGTGATGCACACATATGGGAATGATGTGAGATTTAAGATGTGCTAACACCTTCGTCTCAGATTAAATCAAGGGTATTTTCCACTTAGTGATACACTGCTCAATGATTAGCAACCAGTTCTCTGGGCCAAAAAGCCTTGATGCTGGTGTTTATGTTTCTGTGGTATAAATGTTTCTCTCTGGAATACTCAAAATGACCAACATGATATCATGGATATCACTGTGAGATGGGAGTCATTTCTATCGCTTCCTGGGACATCCTGGCACATAGACAGCAGCACTCGCCTTTCCCTCTCTCAGGGAGATAAGTTTTTTCTCACACATTTTTCTGGGCTTGCTCTGGCCTTTCCAGAGATACACACTCCCATTGCTTCTAATAGCCACCATTTTATAAGCCAGATTCATGTGGCTTGGAAGACATTTTTAGGATCATGTGGATATAGATCTGCTCTTTAATTTCCTAGGGTTTTCCTCTTCCATGTGACTCATCTGCTCTAGAATTTCTGCCAGCTCCTGCCTAATGTTTTTTTTCCATCGCCACTTCACTGGACAGTGAACCCCAAGGGGCACTGGAATACACACAGTGAGAAAGCACTGAGAATCCCAAACATGGCAGGCCCACAGTTCCACAGCTTCTGTCAGGATTATAGCTTACAGACTCGAAGTCCTTGTAGGATTACAGGGGTATGCAGTGAACCCATCAGGGTTGAGGATGCTGTCCAAGTGGTAATTGTAGCTTCTTAGATGGTTGCAAGCCACAAAGTCCTGGGTTCCAGGTAAGATAAAGGTAGAAATCCGCACAGGTGGTATGATACCTTCTATGCCACTGTCTCTAGGAAGGGTGGCTAGTCTAAAGTGGAAAATGTTTTTAAAAATTTAGGATAAGTTCAAAATTTAGTCATGGTAATGACAATGAACATTTAGAGGGCACTTTATATATGCCATGATAGTTTTGATTTCTCTATTGCATTGGCCATGTAATCCCCTCCTTTCCCAAGAGGTGGATACAATATTATAGCTAAGATTGTTGCTGCCCATCTACAGTGTACAGATAGCAGGTTGGAGAGGTTAATGAAACCAGAGCCCATCTGAGCAACATTCTCATGCTATCTTGCTCCTCACAACATTCTTTTGCTCTCTGCAACTCTTGCCAAGTGATGAATGTTACCACACACCTTCCAGACCTGGCCTAAACTTCCTTGACCATGACTGATGGAGAGTTTGGGCTACTCTTATTCATGCAAACCTTCATAAAGATATAAAAGCTAGAATGCATCTTTATCATCCTTAGTATTTCTCTGAGGGTACCTAAGCTATTTTGATCAAATCCAATAAAAAGCTGTATGCATTAGATTTGATTAGACTCCGATGGATTTTAACTTTTATAGACTCCGGTGGATTTTAACTTTTTATATGACAATTTGGCCTGGAGATAACATCTGATCATTGTTCTTTCTCTCCCCCTCAGTATTGGGGACAACCCAAGGCTTTGACACTAAGCTAAAATGCTTAGCTCCATTTTTACTTTTTCAGTTTTAGGACAGGATCTTGTTATGCTGCCCAGGTAGATCAAATCTGTGATCTTCCCACCTCAGTTTCCGAGAGTGGTGCTGCCTCTGTCCTTCTGGCTTCATTAGATTTCCAGCCAGAGCTGAATCTGATGAACACTCTTTATTCCTGGGCATACTTCATCAGTGACAACTGGACCATCTCCACTGTGGTCCTACCATGATCACTTTTCATCCTATTCAGGGTAGTGCAAATGGTCTTGCCCAGGTGGCCATTGGGAATATTTTTATTCTGGTTACTGAACTGAAGCTGATATATATGAGTTTGAGCCTTATTACTGACTTGCAAGGGAGTATCTGCAGAAAAATTCTCCGAGGTAGAGTCAGAATATTTCTTTTCTCTGTTGGGTAGCTACCAGTTGATCCTTGGGGTTACAGCTTTAAGCAATAACATTGCAATTATTTGCTTCTCATATGCCCCAGGATATATAGGACATATTTTAAGCAAATAGAAAACTAGTAGAACTGCAATACATTAATTATGTAACTATGTTTTTCAGAAATAAGGTCCAGAAAAGAGAACTGTACAATTTTAAAGGAAGTATGTTTTCATTATTAACATTTACTACAGCAAGCACTGCTCACTGGGGAAAGGGATGTCATCCCAGACACTGCCCCCTGCCATGGTTTTACCTGACCAGATGCCATATAGGTCCACGATCTGTGACAAGGAATTCTTCTGACAGCCTGGCGTGGTCTGACCTCCATTGGGGAAGTCAAGGAGACCAGTCAGTTGGCGTGTTCCAAAAACTGAGGTATTTGCAATGGCAATGAGTTTTTGTATTGTAGCCTCTACAGGCTAAAACACAATTCTACATGACCACTGCCAGGGTACTGTGGGACTCACCCAAGAAGGGGGTCAGGGGAGCTGAATCTGTGTGAATGATATCAACCAGGTCATCATCTGAAGGATCAAGTCAGACCTCTTCAGGAGTGCTCTTGAAACTTGCTTCTACGGGATCCAGTCCTAAAAGAGATGGTCAAAAGTGGAAAGCAATAAGCCTGTTATGTTGATGCCAAAAGGACTCAGGTGCACATTTGCTCTGGTTGTGCATCACCCAACTCAAAGGGTGCCATGCTTGGAATAGTGTGGTGCCATGACCCTGGGTATTGAATATGGTCTCAATATTGTTCATTATCTGAGGGTTCTGGTGGCATGGATAGAACAGGGAAGATGAGGAGCTGTGGCAGAGATGGTAGCTAGGAAAGTGAGAAACATAATTTTCAGCTTCTACTCTGGCTTTGATTTCAAAGAGATGGAGGAAGCAATGACAATGTAGCCACCTCTAAAGCTGCATGTTGCCATGCTTCTACTAGTTTTGCTGTGCATTGTCCTGGGTTCTCATGCTGCTGGGTGATCTACATCACCAGAAAACTTGGACCAGGTAGAAGGAACCAGGACAGAGGCAGAAGCAGCAAGGAGAATTGAGCCAGCCCCTTCCTTGCCTCAGTGATATGCATGTGCTTCTTCAGGGCTAAGATGTTCTGTGCAGGCTGCAACCAGCCCTGATACAGCCAAGGTGGAATGGTCCCCTTCAGGGAAGTTCCAAGCTGGGCTGATGACTGTGACCACAATCTGGATTACTCAGAATAATACCAGGAGCCTTTGACCTGGGACCTTACCAGTAATTCTGCCCTGGCCTGGAGTCCTGTTCCCACCTCTCCAGCCACATGAGCTCCTAGGCTGTGGCCAATGAGATGGATGTTGGAAAGTGAGTAGCTGTAGTTTGTCTGGAAAGGAGAGGCCATATTTTCAGGACATTGTTGTGCTCTGTTTTTCCTAACATGGTACCACTCTTTTGCTGGAAATCTTGTACCCCCACACTAGGGTCAAACTCAAAATCATTACAAGAGCCCCAGAGCTTTTGATACTAAAGACCTATTTTTCTAGACCCCTCTCTAGTCAAACCCTTTGAATATGTCTGATTTTTTTTCTCCTCTGGGCCTGATTTGTCATATCCTGTCAATCATTTGCTCATCTAACATGAAAAGAATCTACATTCAGCTCTCTACTTACATGTCTCTTCTTGGAGTGACTTCCATGATACATGTACACACACACACACACACACACACACACACACACATACACACACATACACACACAGATCTGCATTAGCCACCCACTATGAGCTCCAATAAATCCTGGACTCTCCTCATCATAACCCTCTAGTAGAAGACACTGTACTGTCAATGCAAGTCTTCCCTGAAAGCACACGAGGGCCTGGGACCTCATCTATCCTTTTTACCCCCTTTTTAATCCTGATACTCAGCTCCACAAATACTGTGTCAACAAGGCAAACAAAACTATGAGCAGTTTGCACATGTAGGCCCAAAAGATAGTCACACAAATGCACCTCATTTATTGATATACATGCCTCTTGGTCAAGACCATGGGTTTGATTCTTCAGGGGCGTGGAAGTAGTTGGAGCCAACTGGTTTTTTGGAGGACCTTTAGCTATAAGACAGAGTGGCTGGGACCGTTACCTGGCATAGAAATTTGCCACAAGGAATTATTAAATTAACTGCAAGAATGACTTAAAGAATTAACTAAAAGGAAAAAGAAACAACTAAAATGATTATGGCAGTGAAAATCCCCCAACATCAGTAGGACCCACATTCACAGCCCAACAAAGTGGGGGTATACCTATGTGTATCTTTGCCTTCGGGTGTTCGGCTTTCCCTGATGATGCCTCATTTTGCACCAAAAGGAGCCCACCTATGCAGTGAGTGGTTCCTGCCTGGAGTTGGAAGGTCAGGGTCCCAAAGACAACTCCCCTATTCACCTGCTCTAATGATCTATATTAAGCTACCTAGGTAACTGTTCTGGGCCTTGGTTTTCTTATCTATAGATAGATGATAATATAAAAGCCCCCCCCCCCCACTAAGTATACGAGTTACTAGTTTTTCTTCCCATGGTGCATCAGTAAGGCGACCTTAGGAGTTCTGGAAGTGAGAGATGAGAAATCCTGCTTCTTTGTGCTTCTTCTTTAATGTGTTACTCTCTGCTTGCCCCAGCAACTGACTCACCAAGAGGTTGTTGAGTATCCACTGGGCGCCCACTACCCGCACGTTGTGGGCAGCCTGAGTGTAGCTGGTTTGAGAGCCCTTCTTCCAGTTCACGCAGATGCAGTTCATCTCCTCCACCTCGAACATGGCCTGGCATTGGGGAGAAACTGGGCATTATCGTGGGACCCCGAAACCCCCTGTCATTAGTGCTCAGAAACGGCCATTTAGCCCTTCTTGCTGAGCACTCAAATAATCAGAGTCTGCTGCAGAATCCTGCTATCCCAGGAGTGTTATCCTTTAGAGCAAATGCTGCAAGAAGGGTAAATTCATTTCCTGCCTAGCTCGAAGATTAATTAAAAGCTGGCTTCTCTCTGGTTTCTTCAACCAGGTTTGATAAGGTTGCTCAGGTGGGGACAAACAATTGTGTCATTCAGACAGCTATGATCCAACAAGGGAAAGCTCAAGTGCAGCCTTGCTGTGGCTGTGCCTAAATGACCTTGTAAATTTGACTCTGGAGTGTTCTTTGGGCCTCTTGCTGACATTCCTGACTGCTGTGAATTTCCTGAATTTTAAAGTGGAAAGAAAGCTTTATGTTTTTACAGTCAGGAGAATGGAATACTTCATGGAGGAATTACGCATTGCACCTACTTGAAAAATAAAATTGCATTGATTCAAAAGAGACTGAAGAATTCTGAATGAAAAAGTTCTTCCTGGATGTCAATGAAACTGAAATATCCTTAGTTCTCTGAGACAGTACATGGTATATGGTTGGCAGTGAAAATTTAAAATTCGTTTGAAACTTTTCACATGTGTGGTAGCCAGTATGTATAATCACATACACAGACATAATGACAGTATTTTTTTTTTTTAGCAGAGTCTCACTATGCAGTTCAGGCTGCTCGTGAACTTTTCCCCATGGCCCACACTGACTGAGGACTTATGGTAATCATCCTGCCTCAGCCTCCTGAGTGCTGCAATTATAGGCATGTGCCACCACCCCCAGCTACTGACAGAACTTTTACATTGGGACTTTTATTTTCAAAGCAGCTTTGAAGAATCTCTTAACCACTCGGAAAATTGGGGATATAAGCTACCAATAAAATGCTTATTAATGATAGATCAAGAGAGGTGACAAGAGCTAAATATCTGGGAAACCAAGATCAAATATAGATAGGCTAATTTTTGAGGTTTATAATGTACTGCTGACATCATCATTGATGTAGTAGTGTATGTGTGGGAGATAGGCTGCTATCATTAATGTAGGTATAAATTCTTAAGTAACAGAAAAATAGACTGAATTAATGTACACAAAAAGAAAGGAGGGTGGTGTGCTGTGCATGTGTGTGTGGTGTGCCTGTGCACAGCTGTGCACAGATGTCCATTGTGCACTTGTGTTACTGTGTGCATATGTGCATGTAAGTGTATGCTCAGCTATGTGTCTCTTCTGCCACCATCCAGACCAGCAGGTGTTATATCCCACTGAGTTGTTGTGCTTCCTATTCTGCTGTCTCATTCAGTCCATTTTAGGTGTCCACATTTCAAATAAGGATTACAGGCATACATCTCAGACTTTCAGCCACGTGGGAAAGTTACGGGTGAAAACAGGAAAATCTCTCAACTGCAGAAATACAAAAAATCCTCACTGAAAATAGAAGCAGAAAACACTGAGCCTTAATTTGACTAGAGTGAGGTGGTGCGAGTACTTGTTCATAGAGCTGCCGCTGCTGCTTCTAGATGCAGATGTACTCCAGAAATACAGAAAAGAATTTTCATGGGACCCAGGGTAAGGATTTCTTGTTGCCAGGCTCATGCACTGTGATCCCATAAAATAAAGCAGGAGGCAAGTGCCTGCAGCCAGTGCAATAGCGGCAGAGTCAGAGCTGGCTCCTACTTTGCACATGTCTGTCACCCAGCTCTCATCTCTCTTGTCTATGAAGCCACGGATGATGAATCAGGTCTTCTTGGTTATTTGAAAATTTGAGGCCTCAGTTGTTGATGGATTAGAGAGGTAGAAAATCTGAGAAAATGCAGAATGCTGCATATTTTTGTAGCCTGACCCACAAGCCCATCTCTCCCCTTCCCCATCTCTCTTTGTCCCAATACCTAGGCTTTCTCAGCTTAGGACAAAGCCCCCTCTTACACCAAGCCACCAATCTTCCTTGCCCAGTTCTATCTTTCGGCTAGTATTGCCTGCCTCTACTGGGCTGGGCTGTGGCTCAAGACTTGCCTTCTTAACAGGTCCCGTTAGAGAGGAAATCCTTTTCCCAGACCAGAACCACACAACCAATCACAAGTTCAACAGTCAACACTTGAAGAACATCTAAGTTGTCCAAGGCTGGCAAGGCCAGGGGAGCAGCTGGAGGGATGGGATGGGTGTAGGGTGTGGTGGAGGAATCATAACACAACAGGGAACTCATAGTCTGTGGTGTCCTAATCCCAGGACAATCTCACCTGAAAGTTGTTTGGGTTTTCATTGGTGTAGAGCAAGAAATGAGTGTCGATTTTCTCAGGGCTCCAGGGGAGAATTTTTAGGGGCCTGATGACAGTCCCAGCCCAGGGCTCAGAGTCAGAAAAGCACCCAAGGTCACCATAGCAAACTTTTTTCCCTAAAGACAAAGGAAGGATCTTGTCAAGGATTATCTCCTGAGGCTGCCTCCCTCTTGCGACCCTCTTGCAGACAAAGGATACACCATGTCTCCTTCTCTTCTTGCCCTAGATACTCACTGACTTGCCTGGCCCAGTCCCATGGAATTCCAGCAAGATGCTAACAGTGCCATCAAAACTTAAGTGTTCTGAGCTCCCCCCTTATTTGATACCCTTATTTGACTAAATGTGATAATGGGCATTTATAAGTCAATATCTTAACAAAAGCAGGTGTTTAATGATTTCTCTAGAAAATTTTGGCCTCTGTTCCCCTAGAGAATGAAAGTATGGGGTTGCTGGTACTGACCTTTTAAAACAAGTCCCATTCAACCCTGCCAGGCTGAGTGTCAGTCCCACCCGCCTTCACCTGGAAGCTGAAGCTGTGTAAAGTTGCCAGAAGCTCTGCCATGGCTGGAGCTTTCTTTGACCAGTGCCAAGAGCTTGGCTCACACTCTTCCTGGGAGCAAGTATGATGTTTCCTACTTTGGGCTGCTCCAAGTAGGAAAAGTATGATTTTTCCCAAAGATCAGCATCCAAAATAAATTCAAACGTTCTCAGTCTGACAGAATGTTTCCAGACTAGTGAGCAGGGATTCTCAAGACTCTGGATGGCTTGACCTGCGTCTACTTCTCAGCCAGTGGCCAACAGGATGTAGAAGTGGCTTACTTTGTCTGAGGATTTATGGATTCCCTCCCCACCCTAGATGCTTTTTATATTCTAGCTTTATCATTTCAACACTATTTTAAGAATGCAGTGAGTGATGATAGCACATGTTATATGTACTTAATATTTTAATCTGCACAAATACACATAACAAGATTAGTAGTGATGGGCAAATCGTCTCACAAGTCTGGAAAGATGAAAGAATACTTGATTAAAAGTGGGAGAAAGGTCACTAACTTTGCACATATGCAACCAGGCAAGTACTCAGAAGCCTGGTGAGTCCTGCTTCTCACTTTTCTATTTCATCACCCAATACCATACTTCACTCACCTCTCTAAGGCTACAGCAGCAAACCTAATAATTGAAGGTAGTTGTTTTCATTCATACCTAATGGAAATACACCTAATTGGATGAAAGCAAAGGGAAGCATCTGATCAAGAAAATCTTCTCTCAGTAGGGCATACCTCTACCCCATCTATGTTGGAGCTTGGGGAAGAAGGATCACAGATTTGAGAATAGCATGGGCAACTTGGTGGGCCCCTGAAAACAAAAATAGAAGGAACTGAGGATGTAGCTCAGTGGTAGAGTGCCCCTGGGTTCTATTCTCCTCTCTCTGTCTCTGTCTGTCTGTCTCTCTCTCTCCTTTTTTTGCCCACTGCTGGTACACTCCAACACTGGCGACACGAGCACTGGAGAGACACAGTACCCAGAAGTTCTCACAGTAGCCTCTCCCATAGTCACCCATTATTACCACTTCAGTTATGTGTTACTATGCAATGAACCAATGTTAAATATAATGGTTTAAGACAACAACAATAGTTACACTGTCTCAATATAATTTAAGTATTTGGGTCCAGGGCGCCTAAAGCATCCATCAGCGGTCTACAACACATCCATCAAGTGTCCCAGATCTTCCCGAGGCTGCACACCTGCCAGAGAGATTAGGCCTGAGGACATCATGATTTCCCTGCAGATCAGCACACCTGTGAGCAGCCGGCCAGTTCCCAGGAGAGAGATAAGCTTCCCTGAGCAAACATGTCCTGCATCTACTTTTTTACCTTCAAGTGAACCGTGCCCCAGCATCAAATTTCACCCTCTTGAATAATCAAATCCAGGGTGCAGGCCTTGAGGCCCTCTGATTAGAACATGGGAAGGACTTCCCTGGAGTACTGAAGAATAGTGACCAGCAGTTTTTGAGGCTTAGCAAATACAATCGGAGGTCTAAGCACTTTATGTCCCTTATTTACAGCAGCAGTCACACCAGGTAGATTCTATCACTGGCCTCCCCTTACAGACATGGAAACTGAGGCAAAAAGGGAGAGACAAATTGCCTACCACAGGCCTTCCAAAGCCCTGGGCTAATGGGGCCATGGCTTGTTAGGACCCAGGCTGCAGAGCAGAAGGTGAGTAAAGGGCCAGAGAGCAAAATTTCATCTGTATTTACAGCTGCTCCCCATCCCTTGAATTAACATCTGAGCTTTGCTTCCTGCCAGATCATCAGCAACATTAGCTTCTCACAGAAGCAGGAACCCTCCTGTGAACTGCGTGTGTGTGTGTGTGTGTGTGTGTGTGTGTGTGTGTGTGTGTGTGTGTGTGTGTGATTAAGCGTAATGATCTGAGGAGGAGCTGAGGGGGTGCTGCTACTGCTAGCCAGTGACTGCAAATATAGATTAACTTTATCAGAAAAGTCTGACTACATAGAAGCCATAATAAAGCAGTTGCTTGCAGACTCAAACCAAAATCCTATCAGTGAGTGACACTTAAACTGCTTCTAGTAGCAAGATTTACAGTGACAAAAAGAAAAAGAAAAAGAAAAAGAAAAAAGCTGATGTACTGCATTGTACAGCTCCATCTAGTGGCAGGAGTTAAGTCAGAATCTGACCCTTCTGTGTGCGACCCACTGGATATTTTACTTCTCCTAACTGTGTCTCTTTCCTCCATTGTCTCAATGACAGTTTTTGTAAGTCCACAGGCTAACCCTACCAAAAATGAGTTAAAAACAAACTTCACCAGAGAGCTTCTCTGAAAAGGAAAGCCCCAATAATGAGAACAGAAGTCTGTTCACAAAAAGAAAGCTGCATTTAAAAGAAAATATCAAGAGTTTTATTTAAATTGTAGGTTTATTACATAGGTAACTCAAGGTCTCCAGTTTAACTCTGTATTATATGCAGCTACTAGCTGCCTAATAAAGTCTCAAAACCGCTTTTGCCATATGGCAACCAAGCACCCTGTATTAAAAGACAAGTCTGCAGTTTTTGTTGGTTTGTTTTTTGTTTTTGTTAAAAATATGAACACAAAGAGCAGAAACTATTATTGATGGTTATCGCTTTATCAATTGTGTTTGTATTCAGTGCATTGCTAAAGCTAAGAAGCCCTCTACTACTGGTGAAGTGTTGATCCTGCCTGCTTCTAAGGACATTTGTTATGAGCTTTTAGGAGAAGCTGCATTTTGAAAGGTGACAATGTTCTTTTTGTTAGCATCCTAACTACATGAAAGGTGACAATGTTTTTTTTTGTTGTTGTTGTTAGCACCATAACTACATGAATTGATCAAATAGCAGAGGATATTAAAGCACAGTGTTGGAGAGGAATTAATCACCATAGTATGCAATCCAGATTGATGAGTCTGCTGATGTCAAGAACAGGGTAACGATGCTTGCTTTTGTGCGACACATTTTTCAGGAGGATGCACCTGAGGATCTGTTGTTTTGTTGTCTCCAACACCCATACCTGCAGAACTATTCAAGATTTTGAATGATTACATATCAAGAAATAAACCTGTTTTTTTTTTTTTTTTGTCAGTGTATGCACAGATGGATCAGCTGCCACGACTGATGGCTTTCTGGTTTTATTATTTGGGTCAAATAAGTCACTTCTGAATGCATTGTGTCATTCACAGAAAAAGTAGTTGATTAGCCACAAAATGTCACCTGAACTTAATAACATTTTTCAGGGCATGATTAAAATTAGAACCACATTAAAGTGCATGACATTAGCTCAAGTCTGTTTGAGCAACTCTGAGAGGAAATGGAAACAGAGCACACATGTCTTCTCTCAGAAAATGAAGTGAATGGCTCTCTAAAGGTAGATTCCTGGCCTGAGTTTTTTAGTTACAAAAACTGCTGCAGAGATTTCTTTTAGAAAAAGTCATCTTTAGCAGACATTTCAGTGACACAGAATGAGTCACGAAACTTGCTTAATTGTGTGACATACTCAGCCTACTCACTGAAGTCAATTTGTCACTTCACGGGAGGAAGACAACTGTGTTCAAGTTGGCAGGTAAAGGGGTTGTGTTCAAAGCCCAACTGATATTTTGGTGGTGATGAGTGAATTGAAATTTTAACATGTTTTGATCATGAATATACATTTCAAAAGAGATAACCAGGATTTTCTTTCTTCCAGGTGGTACTTAATGATCTATCTCAGCCTTTAAAAGACTTTGAGTATGACTTTTCAATTACAAAAGACCCTTGAACTGCGAAGGAATAGATCCTCCACCCATTTATGAATTAACCAGGTGAATCAACTTTGTCCACGCTAGAGAAAGATCAACTTCTTGAGACTGCAAATGGTGGTGGCCTTATAAGTATGTCTGAGACAATTTCAAATCTCCTATGTCCAAGATTAAAGTCAAGGTGAAGATCCTGAGATTGCCACAAAAGCACTGAAAATGCTGCTTCTATTTCCAACATTCTGTCTTTGTGAAGCAGGATTTTCTATAGTTATAGCAACCCAAATAAGATTAGGAAATAAACTGAACATAAGCAACACTGTTCAGGTATAGCTGTCTCCCATCCTCTCCAGACTGGATCGACACTGTACACACGGCCATAATGGTCAGTATCAAATGGGCCAAATCTGTTTCCACCTCAAAGCCTTTGCACTTATTATTCTCAAGATTGAAACTCTAGACTTTCACTGGGCTGGCTCCTTCTTGTTATTCAACAATCGGTTCCTCTTTAGTGAGGCTTTTACTGATGAGTATAGCATCTCCTTTGATACAGCGCTTAAACCCCTGTTCTGGGCACCTTGCTTGCTTTCTAGTTGACACAAACAATAATGATCTTTTTTATTATCTGCTTAGTTGTTTTATGTGCGCTTTTCTCAAAATGGAATGCCATTAAGACAGAGACTTTGCCTGGTTTGGTTTCTGCTGAACTCAGAAATGACACGGTTCAGTGAAAGCGAAAATGATGATTTCATTGGCATTTTGCGCTGATTCTCAGTGAAGTTCAGGGTTAAGAAACAGACCAAAAAAAAAAAAAAAAAAAAAAAAAAAAAAAAAGAAACACAAGGAGGCACAGTTTTTGAAGATCTGTATTTTAAAGGACACACAATAATTGTCCATGTTTATGGGGTAGAGTGTGATATTTCAGTACTTAATGTGATAGGACCATGTCAGAGGTACTCAAACATTATTTGTCCCTTTGTGTTGGGAAAATTCAAAATCTTCTTTAATAGGTATTTTTAAATATATAAATCATCATCATCATCATGGTTATCCTATAGAAAAATGGAAGTTAGGTAGGCTAGTCCTGTACCTCTTAATCACCCTCTCTCCATCACTCTTCTTTTCCAGCCTCTGGTAACCACTTTTCTAATCTCTGCTTCTTTGAGTTCAATCATTGTTTTAACCTTTCACATATAAGTGGGATCAAGCAGTATTTGTCTTTCTGTGCCTGACTTATTTCATTTAACGTAATGTTCTCCAGCCTCATTTTTGCTGTCTGAAAGGATAGAATTTCTTTTTTTGTGAATAAATATTATTGTGTTACGTCTACATATCTACATATCTGCATTTCTATAGTATTTTCTTTATCCATTCATCTGTCTGTAGAC